ATAATGTTTTATTTTAAATAAGTGCTGTTTTTAACTTTCTTTGAATCAAATAATACTTAAAAAAGCATAGCCACTCCTAAAATTTGGGTGGCACAGTGGTTGGCACTGTCGCCTTAGAGCAAGAAGGACACTGGTTCAAGTCCCAGTGCCAGTTGGCATTTCTTGTGGAGTTTGCATGTTCTCCTTGTGTTGGTGTGGGTTTCCTCCGGGTGTTTCGGTTTCCCCCACAAGTCCAAACACATCCGGTATAGGTGAATTGAATGAGCTAATTAAGCAATAGTATGAGTGTGTGTGTGAATGAGTGATTATGGATTTTTCACAGTATGTGTTGCAGCTGGAAGTTCATTCACTGTGTAAAACATCTGCTGAAATTGTTGGGGGTTCATTCCGCTGTGGCGACCCCTCAAAAAAAAGGAATTAAGCCAAAGGAAAACGAAAGAATGAGTTACTGTTTTCAACACTATTTCCTAAACAGCAAATGATAGGAGAATATTTTCTGAGGATCAAGAGACTAGAGTCATGATGCTGAAAATTCAGATTTGAATAAGAAAATTAAATATATTATTAATAGATTGCATATTAACATAGACATCTTTTTTAAACATAGAATAATGTTGCACAATATCACTGTTTTACATTAAATCAAATGAAACAAATGCTCAGGAAAGTAATTACATTTAATTATTTTATTGAAGGTGATTAATAAATGAGCATTAAGCATGTTATCAATTAACTGCTAGTTATTAAGTAAAAAAAATAATACATACATACAAATAATTTTTAATGATTTATTATTACTAATAATAATAATTATGAAAATAATAATAATAATAATAATAATTAATAATATTATTATTATTATTATTATTATTATTATTATTATTATTTTACTTAAAGGCCAACTATATATATATATATATATATATATATATATATATATATATATATATATATATATATATATATATATATAAATTCATTTATTTATGGTTTTTAATAATAATAATAATAATTATTATTATTAATATTTCTATTTAAATTTTTTTTTTTACTTGCGTTGTCTTTTAATTTTACCTTTAAAGCATTATAGTCAACTGCAGTAGTTGTAACTATTGCCATTTCTTCTGTTAAACACAAAATGAGATGTTTTGAAGAATGCTAGTTACTGCCACCAATTGACTTTTTCTTCCACCATAGTATTTTTTTCCTTATACAATTGTCACTCGCTATAACACGGTTCACTTTTCGCGGCCTCACAGTTTCATGGATTATTTCATGTAATTAGTGCATTGTGTTCATGCGATTGGCTGTAGACCACTGTTAATCCATCTCCTCCGTACCTCGTCAACTGTGCAGTATAGAATGCGTTCAGCTTGCCAAATTTACATAAATCTTTGAACGCTAGCAGTGTGACTCTGAAGAGCTGTACGGTATGTTTGCAAGTTTTCGCCCCACATTGGTTTTGATCTTTGGTTCATTCTATAATACTGGACTTGCGTATTTTTCTACGAAGGTTTGAGATTGATGAAAACATTATTCACATTATTTTTAGTGTTTAAACGAGAGAGAAAAGTGTGAAAATGTAATGCCTGTCTGAGAAAAGTGCATAAAGTGTGTAGTGAGGGGTTTCACAGTCTTTAAACATCTATAATAATTAAAAATAAAGCCAACTACTTCGCAGATTTCGCCAATTGCGGGTTATACTTTATATAAGTCAATGTGTGTCTCTCTTCAAAATTCAACAATATAAAGGAACCATTTTGGGGTGAACTGTCCCTTTAATTATACTAATACACTTTTATTTTAAATGGCATTGTGCTGAGTATGAGTTGTATGCCACCTCACGGCCACCATCAAGTGATGGACCATTAAAAATATGCTTTCATGTAGGAACAATGCCCTTTGGGAGGGCCTAAAATTAGCTTTGGTTTCCTTTTTTTGGATCTGTCATCAGAGGCCAAACGGAGCTGATGAGGGCAGAGGATCCACAGTGGAAATCATTAGGCAGAAACTGTGCTCCTCTGGAAGTGCTAGGTGAGGTCAGGACGGGCATCTGGAGCTTCCCCGTGCATCTCCAGAGACGCCGCATGCGGATTTGAGGAGATCTACTGATGCATCTTTAGTCCTCGGGGTCCCGTCGGCCCTGGGTTACGGCACTCGGGACCCCCGGTGGCACCTGAAACAGCGCAGAGATGGTGTGGAGAGTGGCACAACCCTCCCTCCGCTCATCCGCTCGCTCAGATTGATGAGAGTCAGAAAGAGTTTCTCAGTTCCAGCGGCGCCGGCTCTGTACTTTGATAACTGCGGATTGTGTCGGAATAAAACATGTATGATCTTTTTGGATGGGTTGCATGCATTTGGATCTATTGGGGTTGTGTTTTTGTGTTTTTTGTCTGATCGATTTGTGGATTTGATTGGTTGAGAGCTGATGAACTCTACTGTTTTGGATGCTCTGTACTTTGATAACAGCGTATTGTGTTGGAAAAACCATGTATGATGGATATGCATTTGGCTTCATGGGGTTGTGTTGTAGTTTTCTGATCGATTTGATTGGTTATGAGCTGCAAAAATCTATATTTTTTGTATGTTCTGTACTTTGATAACTGCAAATTGTGTTGGAAAAAACATGCATGATGGATATGCATTAGATTTGTGGAGTTGTGTTGTTTTTTTTCTGATCGAGTTGTTGATTTGATTGGTTGTGAGCTGCAGAACTGAACTGTTTTGGGTGCTCTGTACTTTGATAACAGCGGATTGTATTTGAAAAAACATGTATGATGGATGAACGCTTATGATGGGTTGCATGTGTTTGGATTTCTGAGGTTGTGTCATTTTTTTATTCTGATCGATTTGTTGATTTGATTGGTTGTGAGCTGCAGAAATCTACTCTTTTGTGCGCTCTACTTTAATAACTGTAGATTGTGTTGGATAAAAAATGCATGATGCTCTTGGATTTGTATGGTTGTAATGTTATTTTCTGATCGATTTGTTGATTTGATTGGTTGTGAGCTGCAGAACTCAACTCTTCTGTGTGCTCTTTACTTAGATAACTGCAGATTGTGTCGGAATAAAACATGTATGATCTTTTTGGATGGGGTGCATGCATTTGGATCTATTGGGGTTGTGTTTTTGTGTTTTTTGTCTGATCGATTTGTGGATTTGATTGGTTGAGAGCTGATGAACTCTACTGTTTTGGGTGCTCTGTACTTTGATAACAGCGTATTGTGTTGGAAAAACCATGTATGATGGATATGCATTTGGCTTCATGGGGTTGTGTTGTAGTTTTCTGATCGATTTGATTGGTTATGAGCTGCAAAAATAATTTTCTTTGTATGTTCTGTACTTTGATAACTGCAAATTGTGTTGGGAAAAACATGCATGATGGATATGCATTAGATTTGTGGAGTTGTGTTGTTTTTTTTCTGATCGAGTTGTGGATTTGATTGGTTGAGAGCTGATGAACTCTACTGTTTTGGGTGCTCTGTAATTTGATAACAGCGTATTGTATTTGAAAAAAACATGTGTGATGAATGAACGCTTATGATGGGTTGCATGTGTTTGGATTTCTGGGGTTGTGTCATTTTTTTATTCTGATCGATTTGTTGATTTGATTGGTTGTGAGCTGCAGAAATCTACTCTTTTGTGCGCTCTACTTTGATAACTGTAGATTGTGTTGGATAAAACATGCATGATGCTCTTGAATTTGTAGGGTTGTATTGTTATTTTCTGATTGATTTGTTGATTTGATTGGTTGTGATCTGCAGTCTACTCTTTTGTGTACTCTATACTTTGATAATTGCAGATTGTTTTGGAAAAAAGCATGCTGGATGTGCATTTAGCTTTATGGGGTTGTGTTGTTGTTTTTCGATAGATTTGTTGATTTGATTGGTTGTGAGCTGCAGAAATCTACTCTTGTGTACTCTATATCTTGATAACTGCAGATTGTGTTGGAATTAAACATGTATAGTCATATTGGATAGGGTTGCGTGCATTTGGATTCATGAAGTCGCCTTTTTTCTGATCGATTTGTTGATTTGATTGGTTGTGAGCTGCAGATTTAAACTATTTTGTGTGCTCTGTACTTTGATAATGGCGGGTTGTGTTGGATAAAACATGTATGATGATATGCTCCTGGATTTGTGAGGTTGGATTGTTGTATTAGGGTTGTATCGATTTGAGCTGTAGAAAACTACTCTCGTGTGCTCTGTACTTTGATAATTGCAGATTGTGTTGGAAAAGCATGCATGATGGAAATGCATTTGGCTTTATGGGGTTGTTTAGTAGTTTTTTCGATTTATTTGTTGATTTGATTGGTTGTGAGCTGTAGAAATCTACTCTTTGTGTACTCTAAACTTTCATAGCTGCAGATTGTGTTGGAAAGACATGTATGATGATATGCATTTGGATTTTTGGGGTTGTGTTGTTGTTTTTGATTGATTTGATTGGTTGTAAGCCTCAGAAATCTACTCTTTTGTGTGCATTTGGATGGATATGCATTTGAATTTAGGGTCTTGTGTTGTTGTTTTTTTTGTCAAATTGATTTGTTTATTTGATTGATAACTGCAGATTGTGTTGGAAAAATTACGCATGATGCGTGGATATTTGATGGGTTGCCTACATTTGACTTCATGGGGGTGTGTCTTTGTTGTTTGTCCAATAGATTTCTAGAACTCTTTTGTGTGCTCTATATTGTCATGACTGCAGATTGTATTGGAACAATTGTATGAGGGAAGTGCATTTGGATTTGTGGGGTTGTGTTGTTGTTTTTTGCAATAGATTTGTTGATTTGATTGGCTGTGAGCTGCAGAACTCAACTCTTCTGTGTGCTCTGTACTTAGATAACTGCAGATTGTGTTGGAAAAAAAATGCATGAAATTTTTTGGATGGGGTTGCATGCATATGGTTTTATGGGGTTGTGTTGTTTTATTTTTATTTGAATTGCTGATTTTTATTGTGTGTGAGCTGCAGAACTCAACTCTTTTGTCTGCATTGTTGTGCAGGGCCAAAGACATGAAGAACCGACTAGCTTTCCTGAGGAGGAGGAATGAATCTCCTGGAAGCACCCCAGCCAGCAAACTCGACAAAACCATGAAGTCTGTCAAGTAAGTGTGTGTTTGAGTGTGTGTGTTTAAGTGTGTGTGTGTGTGTGTGTGTGTGTAATGATCCAGCTGGTGGCATTGTGCTTGTGTTTGTGTGTGGGAAGAAGAGACAGACACACTTAGAACTGGTCTACTTAGAAAAATAGCATTACAAAATGAAGTTTTTTTAAATAATAATTTAAGTTATTAAATATGAGCATAATTCGTAATTAATATATTAATATTAAAAATAGTATTATTTATTTAATTAGTTTCTTTGTTTAACCTTCCGAGAGTGTTCACTGCAGTAATGTAAACGGATATTCACTGGATATTAAATGTTTGCTGTATTCATCCTCTCTTTATAATAATAAGGGTTCAGTTAAATCAAATAAGTTGTGTTTTTACTAAATGTAAATGTTACTAAACTAAATACAGTAAATTGAGTCGGGAGTGGTTAAAGTTGAGGATATGTTTGGTGTAAGGGTTGGTTAAGGGGTTTATGCACGTCAGCTTCGTAATTGCAGATGTATTTGCTAAAATAAACTGCAGCTGTAATTGCATGAATGTGTTATGGAATAAAAGTACAATGTAAATAATTGTATCTGCACAATAACCATATTGTATGAAATCGAAATGTTACAAAGTAATTAAATATTTATAATATAAAGGGAGTGTAGTTATATATATATATATATATATATATATATATATATATATATACTAAAGGTCAAAAGTTTGGGCTCAGCTTTTTTTTTAATTATTAATTTTATTTAATAATTTACGTAAACTTACTCTGTTCATCAAGGTGCCGTTTATTAAATGTAAAAAAAATTGCTAAATACTTATTTATTAAATATTTTGTCCCACTTTATATTAGGTGTCCTTAACTAATATGTACTTCACAGAAATTAATAATTCGTTACAATGTACTAATTGTGTAAATACATGTATTTACTGTGTACTTACGCTTGTTTAAATACCTGTATGTAATCACATCTGTAATTAACTTCTGTAATTAAAAAAAATAAATACACTTTTGACCATACCTTACACCGTAACCCACCCTTAAACCTACCCATACCATTAAACCTGTCCATAACCCAACCCCTATCCCAACTCAAGAGCACCACAAGTGTTCTCAAATACATTATGAACACAGTAGGTACAATGTATTTATTTTTTGATGCAAGTACATAGTAGTTAAGGACACTTAATATAAAGTGGGATCAAATATTTGTTTATTACTTATTGTATATAGCTTTAAAAGAATTTTTTACGCCAGTCATTATTGCTTTTATTACTATTACCGTTAATAATAGTAGCAATAATAATAATAATAATAATAACTATAATATTTAATATTAGAGTGATTTCTGAAATATAATATAATGCAAAGCTATATATATATAATATATTAAAATATAATTAATAATATATATATATATATATATACATATATAATTTTTATATATATATATACATATATAATTTTTATATATATATATACATATATAATTTTTAAATTATATACATAAATTTAAATAAATTTATTTACACATAGTTTTATTTTTTTATTTTATTTCACTTAGTGGCCATGGATACATTTTTTGGTTAACTTGAAATAACAACAAATGACAAAAGCACCATATAACCATATTACAGTAACTGGAAAATCATAGAAAAAACTGAAATTGTACTATAATTGTACATTAATTGCGCAATGTTTAACTAATAATTTAACATTAAAACAGTAGTAGTCAACATATTTTTTTTCAACATATCAGAAGCGATTTCTAAAATTACTTTTAATTTTTTCCCTTTATTTTTATGCCAAGAACAAATTACATTATTTATACAGAATATATTAATTATATTTTTTTATACATATAAAAACCCACTTTAACAAACCCTAAATACACTGCCTAAAGAACGATAGTAATAATAAAAAAAGTGATTATAAAAATAAATAAATAAATAAATAATAATTATTATAAAAAATTGCTGCCAAATCTTTTTAAAATAAAAATAAATAAATAATTAAATAAATAGATAAATACATACATAAAGAAATAAAATAATAATAAATAAATATATAAATAGAGTACTTTTCATTTTTACTTTTAATACTTTTACTATTAAAGTCATGCATCTAAGACGACTGGTAAACTATGTATTTATATATTTCCATAATATTGCCAGCATTAGTATTTTAAGTGTGTTCATCTCTACTGCACATTATGCATTTCATTTTCACAATACAGATCTATAAATCAATGCACAGAAGTTATATAGTTTAAAATAATCTCCCTCGTGATGTGTATCCGAGCAAACTCTGTGTTTTAAATTGTGCAGCGTTTCACTGTTAGATAAAGTTCCCTTATTAGGCAGCATCTCAGTAAACTGTAGACTGGAGGTGCTGAGTTTAGACAGATGATGGGCAAGAATGAGTCTTGGAGAGCAGCTGTGGGCGGGGCTCTAATTCTATTGGTCGATGCTGGATCCGCCCCCTCCCCTTCACAGAGGCGAGGATAAAAGAGGCCGTCCAACTGAGACTCGCTCAGACACACACACATACACAGTGAGACTATCTCTCTCTCTGTCTCTCTCACACACATACACACACACACACAGTCTCGAGCGCAGCTTCGAATGGGTCATACAATGAAAAACCTGACAGAGATGGGTTTACTGAAGAACCGTGCTGCCTTCATTTGCAGGCCCACTCCTGAAGAAGCCATGAAGTGGGGAGAATCCTTAGACAAGCTGCTCGTCCATAAATGTAAGCTGTCTTTATTCTTCTGTTTTATTGTGTGTGTGTGTGTGTGTGTGATGTGTGGGTTTGGCTGGAATCCACAGGGATTGTATTGTTGCATTGTGTTTGGGCAATGCGTGCTTCCTCTTCCTCTTCCTCTGACTCACTGAATGAGAGCTCTGTTGAATGCAGTCAATGGCTTATACAGTAATCCTCCATCCACTGAGTCGTATGGGGTCCGAGAAAAGAGCACAGATTAGCGCATTTACTTTTTTTTTCTGTGATCTTTAAAGTGCTTGGGTTGCATTACTTTAAATCCCGATATGCGAGAGCGTCTTCTTCCACACGTTGTTATCGGCACGCTCGTATGGGAACGGAAAGGTGATTGCGTGCTTTTGGGACGGGCCACATTTCCTTCCATTTTAGCACAGGACGCCTTTAGATCTGAAAGGAAATGCACTCAAAAAGGGATGTTGTCCATTTGGTTAAAGTTCTTAACCAAGTAATAAACCGAGGCAACACAATTCTTGAGTTATATTTTGGGATAGCTTAACTGTTTCATGTTCAATCCACTTTAATATGTGAACACTGATAAGTTAGTTCATGTTGTCCCGACACAAATCAATTGTGTGGAACCCAGCATTTGTTGTTTAAAAATGTAAGCATGCTGTGCTAGTGTAATGAGAGGAGCAATTATTAATTTCTTTATATTTATATTATAATTATTATTATTTATATTTCTTTATATTTATATTTGAGCCCTATTAAAAGTGTCTACCTAATACAATGAGTGGATTGGGGAATTTTCTGTTGAGCTACATAACATAGAGCTACACTGCAAAACAAAAGCACTGCCTTTCATTTTTTGGTGGAATCAAATGAGCTTTTCTGGTCATCTCAACTCACTCTGACTAAAAATATTACGTTTAACTTTTGTTATAAACTGATTAACTCATTAAAATAGGTTAAAGCAACATATTAATGTTTGTTGTCTTGACTTTTTGTCGTTGTGTGCATGGACATGGTACAAAAATATGTGCCACATAATTGCTTCATGTTGTCCCGACACAAATCGTTTAAGTTAACTCAATTCTTTTTAAAAATGAGTAGATTCAACTTAAAACAAGTGGGTTGTCCCAAAAACAACTAGTTGTTTCAGCTTATTTTAAATAAATAGTTTCAACAAGCAGCAAAACTCATTTTCTGAGTGAAAGATAAATTCATTTTTATTTCCACAGCGCTTTTACAATGTAGATTGTGTCAGAAGCAGCTTAACATAGACGGAGAAAAGAGAATAAAAAGGGAATTGAATTGGATTTAATTTTTATTTGAAAGATTTTAGACAAACTGTACAAAAACACAAGTATTTCGTACATTTTGAAATAAAACCATTGAGGATAAAATCACATTAAACCCCAGTGGCTGCAAAATACAATGCAAATAATACAAAAAATAATAAATAAATAGTCAATGCATTAAACAAACAGTACCTCCACATTTTAAAACAGGAATAAAATTATTCACAATACAATAATATATGAAAAGATTTCTTTTAAGATACACGGGAAATGTGATAGCAAAATAAATCATAAATGTATTTTTTTTAAATTGACATTTATAGATTGTTCAAACGCTGTTTAAGTAATATTTCAATTGATATATGGTTTGTTAGGATATGACCAGGGCCAGACGGAGTCTGCGGACGTTTTTTGCTATTTCTGCGGAGAATTTTGGTAAAAATCTGCGGATTTCTGTGGAATTATTTTGGGAGTATCCAGCGGAGTATCATAACTAAACCCTTAATATATGAAATAAAAAGTAATAAATTACTGAATAAAAACTAAATACATTCAGATTTACACATTTACTCAAGTAAATAAACAGAATTAATAATGGGCTAAAAATCTGCAGAAATCTGCGGAATTCTGCGGAAATTCTGCGGAATTCTGCGCGTGCAGATTCCGTGTGGGCCTAGATATGACTACACTCAAAAAACTACTTATAGAAAATTAGCTTAACACAATTCTTGAGTTTTTTTTAGGGGGACAGCTTATTTGTTTTATGTGCAATCTACTTGAATTTGTTAGGTTAACTCCATCGGTTTGTGTTGGGACAATGTAAATGATTTGTTACAGTGTAGAATGTAAAAATATCTAGTATCTGAGGGGTCAAAAAAAATCTAAATACTACAATAATCTTCTTTAAAGTTGTTCATATTCAGCTTTTAGAAATGCAAGCTAGTAATCAAAAATTGAGTTTAGATATATTTACAGCTAGACATTTACAAAATATTTTAATCGAATATGATTTTCACCTAATATTCTAATGATTTTTGGCATAAAATACAAATCTAGAATTTTGACCCATACCTTGTATTTATTTTTATGGGTATAGCCTCAAAAAAATGCAACATACTAGTAGGACTGGTTTTGTTGTTACATATAAAAGCAGAACAAATATTTTTGTTAACATATTATTGTTTGGGCAATAACCAAATATACACTGTATGGGTCAAAATTACAGATTTTCCTTTTCTATATTCAATAATTTTGACCCACACAGTGCATTTTTGGTTATTGCCCCTCAAAAAATGCAACATGAGACTGGTTTTGTTGTCAGATATAATATAAAAGCAGTACAAAGGTTATTATTGTTTGGTAATAACCAAAAAATACACTATATGGCTCAAAATTATAGATTTCAATCCATCATTTTGATCCATACAGTGTGTTTTTGGTCATTTGCCCCCCAAAAATGCAACACAAGACTGTTTTGTTGAACAGGGTCACATTTAAAAGCATAAAAGCAGATAAATGTTATTATTTTGGGGGGCAATAACCAAAAATACACTGTATGGGTCAAAAATTATAGATTTTCTTTTGTATAATCAATTATTTTGACCCATACAGTGTGCTTTTGGATATTGCCTCCCAAAAAATACAATATAAGACACATATAAATGCATAAAAGCAGTAAGAATGTTATTATTTTTTGGGATAATAACCAAAAACACACTGTATGGGTCAAAAATAATATTTTTCTTTTCTATTATCCATCATTTTGACCCATTCAGTGTATTTTTGGTCATTACCTCCCAGAGAATGCAACATAATACGGGCTTTATTGTCAGATATAATATAAAAGCAGTACAAAAGTTATTATATTTTGGGCAATAACCAAAAAATACTCTGTTTGGGTAAAAATTATAGATTTTAATCCATCATTTTGACCCATACAGTGTGTTTTTGGTCATTTGCCCCCCCAAATTGCAACATAAGACTGGTTTTGTTCACCAGGGTCACATTTAAAAGCATTAAAGCAGTACAAATGTTATTATTTT